TTATTTGTATATAATCTTATGCATCTCCTCACTCCCCAATTAGATTGTTAAGCTTCTAGAGCACATCTCTGTATGCTTGTCAGTGCCCCTAGCACATGCCTTGCATATATAATATCATAGGATCAAAAAGAGACTTTAGTCTAGTCCAATCTCCTCATTTTATAGAAGAGGAAACTGAAGTCCATAGAGGCTAAGTAACTTGGCCAAACTCAAACAGGTAACAAGTAGCAGAGACAGATTTTGAACTCATTTTCTGATGCTGAAGTCAGCACTCATTCTACTGAACCATATTAGTGGTTAATGTTTTGTTAAATTAATGAGTTAGTAACATCAGACCCCTCAAACAACATAGTTGAATTGAATTAATTATCCCCTTCTCCTTTTGAAATCAATGAACCTGAAATTATGCATATTATCTGTTTCCCAAACAATTTGCCCAACCACTCAGTTTTGGAGATTCCCTTCTCCTTGTCACTAATTACTGTTCCCTGTTCTGATGTGTCCAAATTATTGATGAAGATGTAACAGTTACTTATGAGCAGGCAACACTGGGGAAATCCACAGGGTGGAGAAGGAAGTGTCTAGGAACAGTGAGATTGAATGTGGACGGGGTTTTATGGCATCTCCATTTTCCAGTTTCTTCATTTACCTTCCTCCCAAAATAGAAGAGCTACTTGAGCAAATAAAAGGAATCTGTCCTCTCTTTCCTAATCCTTACTTTTGCAGTCCCTCAGTGGGGTGAGTATATACAGCAAGGGGCTCTTTCCTTCTCACTTTGCCTAATACTCTGACAAGCAGACTTCAGTTTGGCTTCATGTGGTTTACCTACCAATAGCTGCTTCTTCCAGAAGGCTGCTGGGGATTTCCCTCTCCTTCTCCACCCCTTTACTCTCATTATTGTGTATCCCAGCTCTAAAGACCCTGAGGGAACATGAGACTTCCCTCTTTTTATGCTTTTCCCCACCCCACCCCTGGGGCTCCATTTCCCTATTTCTCATCAAGCTCCAGTGCCTGGGGTGGTAGGGATGGCTTTGTGGTGGCAGAGGAGAAGAAGGTGAGAGTAAAAGGTGAGAGTGAGAAAAGTTCAATGAATAGGGGAAAAGGGAGAGAAAATCCCATTCTATCAATACCACATAACCCTTAATCTACTTATGTACCTACTCCTGCTCCTTCTCCCTCCTGGCTAATTTGTGGGTGGGCAGAGAGGAAGGGAAATCTATGAGACTCTCATCGTTTGTCCTTCGTTCTGGAAGAGGACCATCGGGAAGGTGATGCCTTGACTTGCAAGTGAATTGGATTTAAGTGAGGCAGGGTTGTGCAGAATCACCAGCCTCACTCTCTCTTCTAGAGCCATCTGGGTCTAGTGGCCAGATATAGATCAGGACTACTGCAAATGACTCTGGATGCAGTGGGAGACCTTGGCCCTTTTAAGCTAAGATCTTTAACAGGTCTCAGTTTGACTGACTCTCATAGAATGAGGGAGAAGGAGGAGGAGAGGGAAAGGGAACTTCTCCATCACTGTTCCTCTATATTTACCATAGCACCCTCCCACTATTCCGTCTCAAGTGTTCTTACTCACCCTTAGCCCCCAGATCATCCTCCTTATTCTCTATCTCCCCAGCCTAATCCTTAATTCTCAAACCAGAGTTCCTGTCTCAGGTCTTCCCCCATAAAGTTCCTAACCTTAATCTTATCTTCACCATGGCCTGAGGCCACGGGAGCCATCACTGCCACCAAAATAGGGAGTTTTGGGGGTAGGGGGAAAGGGAAGTCCTTGTTGCCAGAACTGCAGTGAAGAGCTGGGTTCCTGGGTACCAAACAGTACTTTTCCTGCAGATACATTGTTGCACAGGGCAGTTAGCTTATCAACAGTACAATACCCTACTTTGGATATATTTTGCTTTAAACGGGCATTTGTGGGCTGGACTGGAAATGGAGAATCCTAGGATTTAGAAATAGAACGGAACTCAAAGATTATCTATTCCAAATCTTTTAAATTTTTTTAAGAGGAGAAAACTGAGACCCAGAAAATTTAAGTGGCTTTCCCTAGACATCACCTATCTTCAAAGGAGCAAAGCTGGAGTCTTCCTATTCCAAATCCAGTGCTATTTTCACCAGATTCTACCAAATTCAAAATTATTTCTCAGTTTTTTTTGTTAAAATTTTGAACTTTTGGGACACAACCTTATTTCTAAATTGTGACCTATTATTAAAATGCTGAGTTGCCATGATAATGGCTGCTGAAAGGAATTTAGAGTTAGGCACAGCCCATACCATTAATCTTACAACACAGGCCTAATGATAATTACTGGCATTTCTATTTTGCTTTAATGTTGACAGAGTGCATTATCTCATTTTTTCTCAAAATGACCCAGTAAGGTAAGTACTAAAGGTGTTACTTACTACTCAGATCTTATGGATGAGAAAAGTGAAGTTCAGATTGAGGTTGTATGACTAGCTGTGGTCATACAGGTAGCACTACCTTACTTGAGAGGAAGAATTAAAACCCAGAGCAGGGGATTATTGATTTATAGTTGGAAGGGACCTTTGAGGTCATCTCTGATGATAACCTCAGTTTATAAATGAAGAAACTGCATACATTGGTAGGTGGTGGGTAAAGATATGATTTATAGGCAACAAATAGCATGGGGGATAGAATGTTAGACATGGAGTCAGGAAGACCTGAGTACGAATCATGCCTCAAGTACTCATTAACTAGGGCAGCTAGGTGGTACAGTGGTTAGAGCACTGGCTCTGTAGTCAAGAGACCTGAGTTCAAATCTGGCCTCAGGCACTTAACATTTACTAGCTTTGTGACCCTGGGCAAGTCACTTAACCCCATTGCCTTGGCAAAAATAAATAAAAATAAATTTAAAAAATTACATCTTAACTGTATGACCCTAGGCAAGTCACTTACCCTCTGCCTCAGATTCCTCATCTATAAAAGGGGGATGATAACAACACCTGCCTTCCAGGTTTATTGTGAGGGTAAAATGAAGTAATATTTGTAAAGTACTTTGTAAACCTTAAAGTGCTATATGAATACCATTGTTGTTGTTATTCAAATTCTGGTCCTTTGTCTGCAAATCTAGGATTCTTTCATTGTTCCACATTGCTTTGAGTCCCATGTCTACTGATTCCAGATCTCTCTTAACTCCTAGACCAGTGTTTTTTCCACAGAGTAGACCCAAGACTGGTTAAACTCAACATCTAAGCATGTTTCCTCCAACACAAGGGTTGGAACTCTAAATGCTAAAAACTTTGGAGTTGCCTTTGAAAATTTTACTATAGCAAGTCCTCCAATTTCCATCCTTTTCATTGATTTTAACCTCCTAATCTATGGTGGAAGATATAGTTGGAGTACAAATTTGCAAAGAAACTTGTGAACTCAGCCCTGAGCAAAGTATGGGCAAAATAAAATACTCAATTTAAAACACAGATACATGTCCCCCTCCACCTGCCCCCAAACCACCTAGATTTGTATGCTTAAATAGGAAATCTACCATACCTTTGGCAAATTACCCAGGGTGCCTGTCATATTTATCTTTTAAGTAACAAAAATTGAATGCAACATTTGGCAATAATGACAGAGCAAACAGGGTCGGATTCTAGAACCAATCCCAGTGGCAATGTAAAATATGTTGCTTCAATGTTCTTATTTAAAAAAATTTTTTTTAATATTTTATTTTTCCAATTACATGTAAAAACAATTTTTAACATTTGTTTTTTAAAATGTTGAGTTCTACATTCTCTCCCATTCTCCCTCTTCTCTCCCTTCATTGAGAAGCAAGAAATTTGATATACTACAAAACATATTTCCATATTACTCATGTTGTAAAACACAGACCAAAAACAAAAACCATGAAAAAATAAAGTAAAAAAACAATATGCTTCAATCTGACTCCATCAGTTCTTTCTCTGGAGTTAGATAGCATTTTTCATAATAAGTTCTTCATAATTGTCTTGGATCTTTGTATTAATGGGAATAATTAAGTCAGTCACAGTTGATCTTCATACAATATTGCTGTTTCTGTGTGTAATGTTCTCCTGGTTCTGCTCACTTTACTTTGCGTCAGCTCATTTAAATCTTTCCAGGTTTTTCTGAAACCATCCTACTCATGATTTCTTATACAATGCTCTTATAAAAAAAAAATCTTTTATTTTCTCTGTATTTCTCTTTTTGTCAATTTGCAGACTCTTCTCCTCCTGTTCCCTCCTCCTGCTCAGATTCCCTCTTTGTTTTCTCTAACCCAAGAATTTCAAGTCTTCAGCTATAAAATCTCCTGTAGCCTCACAACGCTCACAGAATAAATAATAGTACCTCAGAATTGGAGATCTCAAAGAATAACTAGTTCAACCTGTATTTGAATAAGAATCCCCATTAATAAAAAGATCAAGTCTCCACTTGATAACTTCCAGTTATGGGAAACTTATTATCTTTTTAGCTGTCTTTTGGACATCTCTGATTATTTAGAAGCTTTCCCTATACAGTACTGAAATACAGCCTGGTTCTGTTTTCTGGTGTTCAACAGAACAAGTTTTTTAACCCACCCCCCAGGAATCTTTGAGAATTGAAGATTCAATTTTGAATCATCAGTGTCCTCTTTTCTCCAAGATTACCATCTCTAATTTCTTCTACTAATCCTCATATGGTGTCATCTCCAGTCTCTTCTGCCACTTGGAGCAAATCACTTAACTCATTTTTTGGTTTTCATTTGTAGAGGCAGGAAGAAAAGCATTCTCCATTTTACTGAGTGGAGATTGAAATATAGACTGGTTCAATGAGTTGTCAAGATAATAAAATGAGTCAACTATTAAATAAAAAAATAAAAACAAATGACAATAGGTAACAATAACAAGGAAGTCAACATACATTATCTATTCTATGAATAGAATAGAAAAAATAGAACAGACAATCCTGTTTTGCTTCCTTTTTGAAAAGAAAATGTATATGCTCTGCTGGCGATTGTCAATCTGAAATTAGACTTGGGAAGTTTGTAGTACTTGCCTGTTTTCTTTGATGTTAATGTGAAGTCAGGACCTTCACCTCCCATAAGACAAATACAGAAACAGTGAGGTAAGAAAATGCAATTTTTATGAAGTTCTATTGTTTTGGGGGGGTTTTGCCTTTACATCATGTGGCACTGAAGACCTCAATCACATGGGACCTAGATTTACCCTTTGTGGGTAAGCATTCAGTAAAAACTATAGCTCATAAACCTCTATTGATGTATTTTCTTCATTAGGTCGATCAGAAGACACATAGTTTAAAGGAAAATATTAATTGGACAACATAGCAAAAAAAAAAAAAAAGAAAGATTTCCTCTTCACAGACAGTGAGTATATTCTCACATGTATTATGTTGTGGGTAGGGGGGAAAGAATGCAGATAGGAAATATGTACAGTAAAGCAACATGATTGGGAATTGTACAATTAGAGAAGATAAGTGACCAAGGAATGCGTATAGCTTTAGCAAATCATGTCACTGATGCTACAGAAGCACCAATCAATGTCTTCGAGTGATGTAATTTTGCTGTTCACTACTTCTGTCTTCTGATCTTCTGTCCTGATAAGGCTTCTTTAACTCTATTGTGATGCCAACCCTAGCGAGCTATGCCCAGCTATTTAGCAGGAAAAACCAGTAGGCATTTTTCAGTGGGTTTTTTTTTAAACTCTGTTGATTCTGAGATGACACCTGCAAATTCAATCCCTTAGTTGCCTTAGAGTGAGAAAATTACCATAAGCAATTACCATAAGCATATAAATTACCATATAGATATACCTATCTATAATACCTTAGCCTTGAAAACCTTCTCAGCCATAATTTTGTCATTAGATATTGAATTGAAATCAGTTCAATTCAATAAGTATCAATTAAAGCACTGTGAATAATAATAGCTAACATTTTGTAGCCATTTAAGATTGCAAAGGTTTTTAAAAAAATCTTGTTTGATCCTTGTAATTCCGTGAAGTAGAGAGAGGGATTAGATGTGATTTCATTAATATCGGGAAATCTTTTAATGAGAAAATTCCTTCTCTCAGTGCAGATTAGTACCATCTCTGCAACTCATGGTCTAAGAGATGCAGACTACAGAGAAAGTAACCAATTTCCCCTGCATCACATAGCCAGTAGAAGTAAGACTTGAACACTAGTCTTCTTGGCTCCATTCTGGCTTTCTATTCCCTACGTCATGTTGCCTCTCTGAGGAGGATGACAGGATCATATATTTAGAGCTGGAAGGGATCCTATAGGATATCCTAGTTCTACTCTTTCATTTCATAGGTAAGGAACCTGAGACCTAGACAGATTGACTTGCTCAAGGTCGTAAAGGTAGAAGAAGCAGCTGAGTGCCATAGAGGACAGTATGCTAACATGGAGTCAGGAAGACCAAAGTTCAAATCTTTCTGGGACACTTAGTAAGTGTGTGATCTTGGGCAACTCACTTGACTTTGGGCTGCCTCAGTTTCCTCATTCTGCAAAATGGGTATAATAATAGCAATTATCATGTTTGTTGTGAGGATAAACAGATAATATTTGTAAAGTGCTTTGCAAATCTTAAAACATTAAATAAATGTTAGCCATCATTATCATTATTGATAATAGTAGTGAAAAAGTTGGAATTTGAACATATATCACTTGAAGGTTAATCCTATGAGCATAAGTATTGTTACTCATATGTGTTATTTCTTCTACTGGCCCAAGGGGCATTCTCCTTCATTGGTAGTCTTCAGGCAGAACCTGGATGATCATTTGGGTTACTGTAAAGATTCATTTTGAGATGGACAAGAGAAAGGAATAGGCATTTATATAGCATCTACTATGTGCCAGGCACTGTGCTAAACTCTATAAATATTATCTCATTTAATCCTCATGATGGCCCTGGGAGGTAGGTGCTGTTATTATTCTCATTTTACAGTTGAGGAAACTGAGTCAAACTGAGGTTAAGTGACATTCCCATTGTTATACAGCCAGTAAGTGTCAGAAGCTATATTGGAACTCCGTCCTTTCTGATTCCGGGCTTGACGCTCTATCCGCTGCACCACTTAGTCGCTTCTCTTTATAGTAACCCATTAGATGGCTCATTTACTTCCTTCCAACTCTGAAATTTGGTGATTATCTCTGTTTAAGAAAACTGAGCCTTATGTTTAATCATTTCCCTTCAGGTCTCTTTCATAGTTAATAAATAGAAGAGGTGGATCTTGCATTAAGGTCCATAGACTCTTAAGTCCAGAGTTGTTTCAAGTATATCAAGTTACAGTACAGCTAGGTGGTGCAGTGGTTAGCACACAGGATCATCTTCCTGAGTTCAAATCTGGCCTCAGATACTTACTAGCTATGTGACTCTAGACAAGTCTCTTAACCCTGTTTGCCTCATTTTCCTTATCTGGAAAATGAGCTGGAAAAGGAAATGGCAAACCACTCTTTCTTTTCCAAGAAAACCCTAAAGAGGGTCATAAAGAGTCAGACTCAACTAAACAACAAGATATTGAGCTGAATTTCTCTTTATGCAGCTGTGATTATCTTTCTCTTACCTATATTTCCACCCTCTATCCATCCCCCATTTGTTTTTAAGATGAATACTAGCTAATTTTAAGAAAGGAACATAAAACATTTTATTTTTTTAATGGCACATAATTTTAAAAATTGGGCTGCAAATTCTTCTTTACATGTTACATGCAGTGCAAATAAACTACAGAACTCACATACCTATTTGTGGTTCTCAGATAGCCAGGTCTTGGAATTAGATTTCTTAAAAAATCGGTGTTTGTCATTAAAGCAATGACCAAAAGAGATCTTTTCCTCTTTATATTACTCCAAAATAAAGAGTCCGGCTCTTTGTGACACTTGATTTTTTTTTTCAGTGATGCTAGAGCAGCAAAATGAGTTAATTCTTCCTTTGCTAGATATTCCATAGGCATCTCAAACTCAGCATGTCTACCTTAGAACTCAATATCTTTCCTGTCAAGCTCTTCCCCTTTTTGAACTTCCCTATCACTATTGAGGTCATCAACATTTCCTCAGTCACCCAGGATTGCAACTTTGGTTTCAGGCTTGGTTTTTTACTTTTACTCCATCGATTTGATCAGTGGTCGTTTGGACATTCACAGCATTTCTTGAATGTTTGTATTTCTCTATTCACACAGCTACCACTATGGTATAGGCCCTCATTATAAATGGATTTGCCAAGGTAAGTGTTTGAATGCCTGGCATATAGTAGGGAATTAATAAATATTTGTTGAATAATAAATGCTCCCTCTATCAGCCTATAACTTAGTGGATGTATTAGAAAGTATTGGGTAAGGCGTGGGGAGATTAAATGGCTTGTGGGCAGGGTCACACATCTTGTCAGTAACAGAGGTGGGATCTGAATTCAGATCTTTCTTTGACTCTCCAAGCCCAATGTTCTACGTCACCCACTGAATCCCAGGCCATCACTAGTTGTCTTAACTTATGTCTTGCCACTGGACTCTGGAGGAGAGAATGAGGCTGATGACTTTGCACAGCTCTGCCCTACTTAAACCCAATTTACCCACAAGTCCTGATATCACCTTCATGATGTCATTGGTCCTCTTGGAGAACAAAGGATGAAGAACAAAAAAGATTGAGAGAAGTGGAAGGAGTTACACAGGGAAATTCTAATCAGGGTCTCTGTCAACCCAGTGTTATAAAAAGATGCTGGATCTGGTGTTGAGAGAGAAATGTATGCAAGTTCTATGTTTGATGTTTGTTAGTTGACTTGACTTGGCTAGCTGCATGACCATAGTGCCACATCATGAAGCCTCAGTTTCACAAACATGATGATATTTGTAGAACCTTCCTCCCAAGGTTGCTATAAGGAACAAATGAGATAGCATATGTAAATTATGTACTTTTTAAACCTTAAAGTACTATATAAACATGAATTATTAATATGATTAAGGATTGAAATAACTTGATATCAGTTGAAGATCATTAAGAAAGATACTAACTTTTAATTACATATTTGTTTTCTTAAAAAAGGTGGTTAAATGCCTTAGGATTATTTTGGGGGAGGAGGGCAGATCTGTGATTTTTTTTTTTGGTATGGGAACTGGTGAAGAAACTTCTTGAACCAATACTAGTGGTATTTTTAGACACCACACAGCATACTGATAAAAATAGAGTAACATATAGAAGCAAATGGGGTTATGACAACGGCAAAATTACACTGAGTTCAGCACTTTGAAAATGAAAGTTATATTTCACATAACTGTCCTTATTGGTAAGATAGTATGATATGAGAAGTGGTAAGATTGCCCTACTAGAATCACAACTAGCATTTATCTTGTGGTTTTCATCTTGTCTATGACATTATTGACTTCAAGGAAGGTGGATGAGAATCAAGTGGCCCTCTACACATTCCCACTGCCCTGTTGTCACCCCAACCCATGGGGAACTTGGTTTGGTGGTGAATATAAGCTTCAGGGTGGCCGAGCTGTCAAGCCATTTTGATAATTTGTCACAGGGAAAAAACTACCACCTGTGGTTCATGGATGAATCATGCCAGCTTCTAGTTGAAATTTTTGACTCAATCATATTATATGACTGACTCATCTTCTGGAGTTTTGGACCCTGGGAAGACGACGAACAAAGAGTGAATGATCAGCTGGAGGAACAGTGGGACAAGGAATAGAAGAAGAAGATAACTGGCCAGCCAAAGGGTTTCTGCTCTGGTAGTATTTGGCACTGGCAAGGTGTGTTGGAGAAATCTAATGAATGAAACTGGGCAGCTAGATGGTACAGTGGATGGAGCACTGAGCTTGGAATCAGGGAGACTCATTTTCCTGAGTTCAAATGTGACCTCAAACACTTACTAGCTGTGTGACCTTGGGCAAGTTACTTAACCCTGTTTGTCTCAGTTTCCTCTTCTGTAAAATGAGCTGAAGAAGGGAATGGCAAACAAGTCCAGTATCTTTGTTAAGAAAACCCCAAATGGGGTCACGAAGAGTAGGATATGACTGAAAAAGCTCAACAACAGTGAATGAAATTAAATTCCCACTTGACAGTTATTTGTTGAGTACCTTCTCTGTGTCCTGAAGCAGAGTATGGCAACCCAAAAGATGATTTTTAGTGGTATGATAGCTGAGGTTGTGAGAAGAGGCAATAGTGGGTATAATCACAATAGGGAAAAGGATGCTAAATCTTCTTCTTTTTCTTTTTCTCCTAATCATGTATTTTAAATGGCATGGAAAATGCAGCCCAGAGAGGCTGAATCACTTGACCAAAGTTACATAGCAAGTGGATGGGTGGTGGACTTTCTGTCTTCTAGCCCAATGTTCTTCATGCTCTATAGTTTTCCCTGTCTCATTCCCTCAAAAAGAGAGAAAGCCTGAGTAATGGATGACTTATTAATGAAAAGTCTCCATGGACACTACTTCTTCCTGAGGGAATGACAGTGGTAAGGGGAACAGTGAGATGTCACCTGATTCTATTTTTCTAAAGTTGTTGGCATGGGACTTAGATAGCACAAGAGGACTTTTTTAATTGTTTTCCAATTGTGTCTGATTCTTCATGACCCCCCCTTTTTTTTGACGGAGGTACTGGAGTGGTTTGACATTTTCTTCTCCAGTTCAGTTTACAGATGAGGAAACTGAGGCAAACAGTGTTAAGTGACTTGTCCAGAGTCATACAACTAGTGTCTGAGGTCAGATCTGAATTCAGGAAGATGAGTCTTCCAGACTCCAGGCCTGGTACTCTATCTACTGCATCGCCTAGCTGCCCCATAAGAGAACTAGTAACCAGCAATATTATAACTCTTCTGGAATGGATTTGTGCCTTGTCTTTTTTGGACCTGAATGTTGACTGGATTACTGTTTCTATTTTTGTCTTTTTGGTGGGGAATCAGGTAAGAGTCAGGGAATTTGGATAATTTGCTATGCCTTGCACCTGGGAAAAAGTCCATGATAGCCTGTTGTCTTTATAATCCCATTTGCCCTACTGCATATTCCAGAGAATACCAACCCAAGTCCCAAAGAATAATCTGATAGCTATTACTGCAGATACAAAGGAGGATGAATACCAACTAAATACCAGGTATTTTAAAGCTTAAAAAAAATAGCAACTCACATTTCAAATTATGTTCTTGATCACTGCAAAAGAAATTACCTCTACCAACAAATCACAAGGTGATGGAAGACAGCAGCTTTTCTCCTTCACTTAAGAGTTTAATCATAAAGTAGAATTGTGGGGAGACAGGGCATATAAAATTATCTTTGATGCCATTGTCACCAGAAAGTTAATGAGGTTTTAAAAAAAATTTTTTTTAAAGGTATCACTAGATTCCCTTCTATTTATACCAGTGAGGATTCTTTTTTTCAGACTTTAAAAAAAAAATTTTTTTTCACCCATGAAAAAGTACCTGGCAAGGTCTATATCTAAATTTGACACTGGGGTTTACTGTCTTAGACTTCCTGCTCGGGAAGGGCCTTGCCTTGTGACACCAGCTCTGCTGTGTTTACCTCTAGTGTGAATCAGTGGCTGTGACACAGGCCTGGTCAGTCCATGATAGGATTTACCCTCCTCTGACTAAGGGAAAGATGCTGGAACACCAGCAAGGGGAACTTGGAAGATCCAGAAGCTTTTTTTTTTTCTTTTTGCACTCACTTTGTTGTCACTTTTACAGTGAAGGGTAGAGGCTGGAGGCATCTCTGGGTTTAGCCTCTTAGATGGTTCCTGTTTTGGAGCATTTCTTTTGCGAAACTTCTGCACCATGCCCCTGTTACCTCACAGCTAGACTGTGAGAATTGTCTGCCAATATCTCCTTCTGGCTCCAAATTCATTCTAAACGTTGTCACTATTAATCTTTGTAAAATATTGCTTTGATCATAATATTCCCCTTTTCCAAAATCTTCAATGACTTCCCATTGTCTAAACATTTAATCTTGCATTCAAAGCCTCCTCAATTTTGACTTTGACCTACTATAACAGGATCCCAAACTGTTACTCTGACTAGAGCTCACCTCTCTTCTTTAATTTTCTTGCTACTCAGTCTTCTGTAGTACAGTTTTCAATTGATGTTGAACTGTATGTTTTGCTCTTTCTACTGCTTTAACACTTTTAGGTTTAACTTTTTGTCTCTCATTTTCTTTTCTTTTTGGCTAGGCAATGGGGTTAAGTGACTTGCCCAGGGTCACACAGCTAGTAAGTGTTATGTGTCTGAGGCCGGATTTGAACTCAGGTCCTCCTGAATCCAGGGCCAGTGCTCTATCCACTGCGCCACCTAGCTGCCCCTGTCTTTCAGTTTCAATTGGAATTCTAGACTCTGAGTAGACATTAAAGAAAGAGTAATTGATCAGCCAGAGATACAGAGGGACCCTTAATTGTTGTTTAAGGGTGTCAAGAATTCTGATATAGTTTTGTTTTCTGGATTCCATTCCACGTGTTTCTTTATGTGTTGGTTTTAATGGAGAAATATGATGTTCTAGGGGCAGCTAGGTTGCACAGTGGTTAGAGCACCAGCCCTGGAGTCAGGAGGACTTGAGTTGAAATTCAGCCTCAGAAACATAACACTTACTAGCTGTCTGATTCTGGGCAAGTCACTTAACCCCAATTGTCTTGCAAAAAAAAAAATAAGGTGTTCAAGTTTTCAACTATGCTTCCAGATAAATATTGATATGCAATCTTCTAATATCTTTTCACATACCTTAATAGTTTTCTAGCCATTTCTGTTATGGTAGTATCTGATGCTTGTCTTAGGAGTATTCCTAGATGCTTTCCTCACAAAAGCTATGTGAGGTAGATTTAACATTCCTATTTTTCAGGCATTAGTCCTTTTAAAAATTAATAATCAACAAATAAACTGTTTTTCTTTTCCTCTCCTAGTTGTGCTTCTAACCCTCCAGGCTTTATCGTCATGCCTCAGCTGCCTTTTCACCCTGGAACATGTCTTCATCATGCTGGCCCCCTTCTCTCACTGATGAATTCCTTTCAAATGGCCTTTTTTTTGTGGATAAGCCCAATGAGGGTTTATTTCAAAATTCCACTCTAAGTATGCCCATTTCCTTTTAAAGAATATTTGTGACATTGGAGTTATTTTTGCCTCTCATTTCATTATGAATTACCATATGCACAGTATGTTACATAACTATTTTCAATGCCTACAGGTTCTTCAATTTTTTCTTCTTCAGATTTTTGTAAATCTTTAATTTCTGCTCTTATTTAAGTTAACCTCAGTTTAATAACAGTTGTTTTGGACCTGATGTTATTGACAAAAGTGCCGAATAAAATTCTTGTCTGTAACTGGCGAGATCTGTTTCCAATTTTCCAATCTGTTTCCCATGCAGTATGGGTGCATAATGAAAGTACTCATATCTTCAGTACATTTCATGCATGTACATGGTTTGCCCACTTTAACGGTCAGTGCCATTTTTGCTAAAGCATTTCCATTGGGTGGTGAATTGCTATTTCTCTGATTTGCTCCTTGTCTTTACGTCTTGCCTTCTTGTGGCATTAGAACACAAAGAAGCACAATTTGCTCCTCTGTCATTAGTGTCAATCTAATCATTAGCATGGTTTCAAGTAAGACCAGACTGAGATGGCTGAGATGATTAACCTCTTTCTTAGATTCATAAAAGTGGTTATGTTACAATGACTGTAGTGCTAACCTGGTCAGTGGTATCACCAGAGCCCAATTGGCCAATATTCATTTTCCAGCCAGGTCTTCATACTTATCCTAGTGGACTAAGAGAATATATCATCATCATCATCATCATAGATAGTATTCATATATAGTACCTACTATGTGTAAGGCACTGTGCTAAGTTCTTTACAAATACCTCATTTGATCCTCACAACTCTGAGAGGTAGGTGCTGTTATTATCTCCATTTGATAGTTGAGGAAACTGAGGCAAACAGACTTGCCAAGGGTCACACAGTGTTTAAGTGTCTGGAATTGGATTTGAATTCAGGTCTTTCTTACTCCAGGCCCAGTGCTCTATCCATTGTACCACCTAGCTGACTCTAAAAAAACTGTTTTTCATAGTTGAATAAAAATATTAGGATGTATGATTTTGCTCTCCAGGCTAGGTCTCTGTACTTTAAGAGCTTAAGATTGGGCATCAGTTCAGTTTGTGATAAGGGTCCAGTACAGTTTATTGGTTGAGTTTTTAAATATATACACACACATACATCTATATCTATATATATAAAATAGATAGATAGATAGATAGATAGATAGATAGATAGATACATAGATAGATAGATAGATATAGGCTGCAAAATAACCTGGAGATAATGGTCCAGTATAGTTTATTGGTTGAGTTCTTAGATATAAATATAGATTATAGAATGTATATCCTCCAGAATATCCTGGAGGAGGGAATCAATAAACTTTACTGGACCATTATCACAGACTGAACCATTGCCCAGTCTTCCAGACATAATATTGATCATAAAAACTTAAGATCCACATTTGTTGTGGATATCACCATATCAAATCTCTTTAGATACATAGATATGTATATATAATATATGTATTTTATGGAGTTCCATATATGTATATATGTAAATATAAATTTAAATAAATATATGTGTGTATACAAAGACATACTCACACATTTATGTATATATACATATATGTGTATATATACCACACATACATACACACTCACACATCATGAAGATCTGTCACTTATCAGTCCATGAAAGATAGTGAATTTCTGAGGTACAATTCAAATCATGAGTCCATGTCTGGTTAGGCATTGAGTAGGTGCCAAATTGTTATAGCCTATAGTGATGTCAGCTTGTCAATCAATAAGCATTTATTAAGTACCTACTATGTGTCATTCATTGTGTAATGAGTTACACAGTCTCCACTGAGACTATCTTCTTCCCAGTTTAGGACATAATTTCTTCCTTATAACCTCTGACCGCATTAGATTTGCTTATTTATCAATATTAATGAAACTAATGAAACCTAATCATAGTAGAAGTCCACATTTGTTTCAGTGAAAGCAAAACTCTAAGATTTTTGCCTCTGGGTAAGATTCAGGTCTTAATTTTTTTGCTTCTCACAACCTATTAGTAATTGCCTCATCTTTTCCTGGCATTCTCCTTCCTATGGCCCATCTTCTAGGATTGAGGCAAGACATAGTTGGGAATAAATCCCTACTATCTAGCCTTGAGTGACCTCTACAAAGTCTCTCAAGAAGGCTGAAGCTCATGCTGTCAGCTCTCTAAATTAAAAACCCTTCATAGCTCAGCTCCTCCCTACCTTTACAGTCTTCTTACACATTACTCCATATACTTTACAATCCAGTCTACCCTCTTGCTGACTCTGGCACATGACTCCATCTCCTAGCTCCATGCATTTTCATAGGCTATTACCTCTTCTTGGAATCTTTTCCCTCTTCACCTCTATTTCCTGGTTTTCTTCAAGGTTCAGCTCAAATCTCACCTTCTGCAGAAGGCCATTTCCACCCCCCTTTACACTGGTAAATGTTTAACAATTGGCTCTCCAGAAAAAAAAATGTGTGCATGACACACTTTTAATTTTAATCTGCATTATTAACATTTTTCTATCACTTTCTTAAGTCTAAAGTGACCATCAACAACAACAAAAAATAAATCAAACTCTATTTTGTGGCCTTTGTGGATTTCTGAGGTGTAAATACTCACATATATCTCCCTCTCCTTTTCTCTGTTCCCTCCCTGCCCCCCACCTCGTAGGTGCTTTTTCTTTGAGATTACTTCCTGTATATATCTTGTACATGATTGCTTACTTGCATATGGTCTCTCCTGTTAGAATGCAAAGGCAGGATAACCTTTTTGCCTGTAATGTCCCAGTGCTTATCACAATACTTTGCACATGGTAAACACTTGATAAATCCTTGTTGAATGCCGACCTGTTTACTCTCTAGGGCAGTATGTACAAGGGTGAATGATTACAGCTGCTATTTCCTATCTAAAAGTGCAATGAGGAAAGCTGGGTGGGTTGCGGGGGGGGGGGGGGGGGAGCTTTATGGCATGAGGTAAGTGTGGGAGGTGCAAGTGGAGATGAGTTCATCACTACTTTTCCCTTGATGGAGAATTTAGGTGTGGAGTAGAAACAGATGAACTCTGTCTCTGACAAGAGTGATCTTAAAACTGATACCGTTCCTGGAGTCTTACTGATTTTTCAAATCCTCATGCCTTCCATTTTCTCCCATAATGTTAGTTTCAAGCTGGAAGTCCTTTGAGGTGGTGGTCTGACTGTCTGAAGGCCTTACAATCCCCTCTGTTCTTTTGTTATCAACTTCTATGTCTCCTAGAAGAACTAATTAATACTACAAAGTATCAAAGCTTGAGGGGCAATGCCCCAAACTGCCTGTAGAACTGCTGAGGTTTGGGAGTGAAGGCTCCTTCTGTCCATTCCAAACTAATGCCACCTGACCCTCCTTGCTCAGTTCTGTTACTGGAGTCCTATCCCTTCCTGTGAGGGCACCTGAGAAAATCCAGCTCTCACCCACCCTTTGCTGGTTGGAGGGATAACATGGCAGTGGGGACCAAGAAGAAGGGAAAAGAAAAGAAGGGGCAAGTCCCTGCCTTATCCCCTTGGGGAACCAAGCTGCACCTAGCACTAACCAAGAGACCAAAAGACTCTGATTTTTATTGTTCTATAGAATTGTTAGAAATAAATACATATTTCTTTAAACATCGACCTCACTTTGATTGTTAAAAAAAAGCAAAACAAAACAAACAAAAAACCAAACCCCAGAAGACCTCAACTCTCCACCTTGAAAAGTCTAAGTGAGACAAAATGAAATAACTGTGTATACCCTGGTTAAAATATGCAAATTATATGATTAAAGCTGATATTTTTCTATTTGCAAACAGACAATAGAACGAATTAATGAATAAAAGAAACATTTGCTAAGTTCTTACTTGTAAATCTCTTGCTAAATGCTGGGGGTTATAAACTGAAAAGCAAGATAGTCCCTGGTCTTGAGGTACTCAAGTTAGGATATGTCTGATTCCTGATGGGGTGATGGGACCTGGACCCCTAAAAGAAGAAGACTCATTCTTTGAAAGCAATCCAGTCCCAGAATTTTCCCATACATTTCAGCAGCCCAGATCACTGGTGCTTCCAAGGCAACTGGCCCATCCCAGCCCTAGGTCACCTAATTTAGCTTACTTGACATTCCTGTTGCCCTTGTCCTACCCCAGACTATTTTCATATACTGACCACTCCTTAATCCCATCTAGATTACCTAAATAGCCTACTTGATGTTGTACCTGGCCCACTCCAAACTTCTTATCACTCCTTAATCCTATCCAAATCCTTTCACTGTCCTTTTTATATATGAGCATCAGTCTGAGCCCCATTAAATTGCAGGTTCATTAGGAACCTTGCCCTTTTCTATAGGCCTTAAATAAATTGCTCCTTGACTGGAATATGGTTTGAATGTGGGAATTCATTCCAGGCAGGATGCCACCCTGTACCTTGGCATTTCAGGGTTCCCAGTAACCCCAAGCTGAATCAATTCCAGGTACCAAAAAACTGTTGATCTAGAACTCACAGCTTTTGAAGTCTGAAGACATTTGTTCTAGGCTTATAAGTCCCAAAGGGGTAAGATGACTTACCCAAGGTCACATGGATAGTTAAATAGTAGACCCAGAATTTGGACCCAAGTACTGTTACTTCAAGGACTTATTTCAGGCTCACTTGGTCACTTATGGCAGGCAAGAAGCCCAAAGCAGAAAAGACAGTTAGGGTCCCAAAGCCCATTTTTATGCTTTAGCTTTTAAGAGTTCCCAGTTTACCATTTCTGCTAGGATGGGAAGGGAAGGGAGAATGATGTTCTATCTTGATCCTTCATAGCAATTTTAGGGGTGAGATTCTAGAGTCCTGGCATACTAGGCATGTGGAAAGACACAGAACCAGAGGGGCAGAGTCGCTTCTCCTGGCTTAGTGTCCTGTTGGCCTATCGTCTCTGACACAGCTTTGACACAGTTTCTCCCCTCCCTCTACTCCCTACCTTTAACCCCAACACTCAGCTACCACAGAGCACATGACAAAATGGCCATCCATGGTTTGCTGTGATCCCAAAGCACCTG